TATTCTCGGTATTGGACTGGAACTAGCATGCAACTGAGGCTAATGCGGGGAGTCTTTTCAAATGCAAATGACATTAATCTTTTTTTAATGATATTCCCCGCATGAGCCTCCATTGTAAGCTAGTTCCAGTCCAATACCGAGAATACGAATATGCTCTACTGTTTAATGCCGTACAAATATGCCTATTTATTGCACGACTTAGACAGCAAATTAAACAGAGTCAATAACCAAAATCCACAAATCAGGACGCTTTATTCTTGTCTAATATTTTCTAAATATTGGACCGGGATAAATTTATACAGCTGCTTAAATAGTAAAGATGTCAAACAGGTCTGTTATTAATCAAATATGCCAATTTATTTTATTACGACTGAGACAGCAACGCGGTCAATAACTAAAATCGACCAAACAGAACGCTCTATTGCTTGTCTAATATTTCCCGAGCTTTGAGCTGTAGAGTAATACAGCTTTTATAGTAATAAAGATATGTAATAAGTCTGTCATTAAAACCAAGTTTGTGGAGAGCTCTTCAAGGAAATATCGGTGACGACCTCGGTTCGATCAATCCGAACTGTCAAGATCCAATATTCTCCCGGTACAGCCCCCTCGGTTCGTCAATAATAATCAATAATTTATTGCTTTCGTAGCCCTACAAGGCGTAAATACATTTACTTCGAGAACTTTCCTTTCCACATTATTTTCGTCCTTCTGTCCTCAGACTGTTTTTTAACTCGTCTTATTTTATAGTAGTCTTTTACGTCTTCATTTTCATAGTAGTCTTGTAATGCGTTCAATTATCATCTTTTAACGTACAGCTATTCGTTTTCGTTTATTGTGTTGCTCGTTTCCTTTGAACTTCTTTACGTACTAAAATATTCTTCATATAATTAGGTCTTCTCATGTAATATCTTACGTTTGTTATATCCTCATAATATCTGTAAGCGTTTCATTATATCTGTTCGACACGTCTTCATGATGGTTTTAAAATTTCACTCCTTGTTTTTCTCATTACGAATCATTATGTTCATTATTTAACATTGACCTTAAATTGTTTATCAACACCATTATCGCAACCAAAATCACAGTCACTCCACCACCAGCCACCACCACCATCTAACACCACCCACCACCAACCCCACCAACACCACCATCCAACAACATCCACCACTACACCACCCACCAACCTCGCCACCACCACCACCACGATCCAACACCACACACCACCCACCAACATCACGCACCAAACCCACCACCAGCGAACACTACCACCATCCAACAACATCTACCACCAGACCACACACCACCCACCAACCCCACCACACACCACCAACCAACATCACCCACCAAACCCACCACCACCACCACTACGATCTTACACCCACCAACCCCACAACCACCACCACCACCAGCCATCACCACCATCCAACAACACCCACCACCACACCACACACAACCAACCAACATCACCACTCACCCCAACTGACACCCACTCCCACCAGTACCAACACCCACCATCACGAACACTCACCCCGGACATCACCATAACGACATACATTTTTCATGTTATAGTTATATTTTATGGCTTCATTTCATCCTGGATTTCTTTAGATATGTGTTATATGCCACGATTAGGTTTCAAATCCTTAAGTCTTGTTTCAAATAACTAGTTATATTCACTTATATTTACCTTCGTCTTGTTGTTAGTGCCTCTAGAGTGCTGTGTTGCACGTTGTTATGTGAATTATTTTTAGTTATCGAGTGATATGTAATGGTAGTACAAATATTTATATCTGTTGAATAAGGAAGATTGAGTGGGATTTCACCCGTTTAACAAAATCTAACGACTTGTGCGGGACAATTAAACCCAAACAGAAGGCGGAAACAACGGAAAAACGATATAGGGAATAATAAACTGTACCATGCTACGGGTTAAGGAGAACCTTTCTCTATATTTTTCAAAAGCTTTCTCCAAAAACTGCTCTATACCAACTGCAGAGGTGGCGAATGGTCAATGCGAGAATGAGAACTTGATTGTTCAACAGATCTTTTCTCTCTACACATCTCAATTCATTTTCAAACAGAAGCGGGCCTTTCTGTCAAACACTCCAGTCTGCCTCGGAAGTCTTCTTGTTACACCAGAGCTAGCTGACTTGGCTCATCAAGCATAATATTTTGCCAGCGTTTCTGGACACGAATCATGCTTTATAAGAATACACATGCATTGTAACCAAGTGCAGTTGAATGTTTAAGCAGAGATCAGCTAATACAGGAATAACTGAAATGATGCAGATTTCATACAAAGCTGAAAAATATAAAGTGAACTACACAACTACTCAAGTTAAGACATATCTTGGTGGAGGATACGACATTGAAAGCTAAGAGATACCTATAGCTAAGAATAGGACGAAGTCACGATAGAAAGGAAAGCTGACTTTGTTCTTCTGAAATATATACACTGATTAGAAAATTTCGATATCGCGGATTACATGTATGTTAATGAACTTGTCTATGTTGAGGATGTGATCAGGTTACGAGACAGCAATTCCCACGAAAATTTAACATACAAATCTTCAATCTTTGTTGATCAAGGAGCGTTTTAGGAACTGTTTTCAAGAACTGCAAGGAACCCAGACAACTCCCTAAAATCTCCTCGGTTACAGGTAATGGTTGCAAGATCCAAGACAAATCTATATCTGTGCTACTGTCCACGACTCTGAAGAAAAAAAAATGGTTGCTAGCTCCTATCAGTCTAGCACACGTCCTTATAAATTAAGCGCAGGTCAAAGCATACGGTACTGCTTGCTAGTTTTCTGCCGAGTACGTACAAGGCGGAATGTCTCTGCGAAGGAAGTCTGCTTGTCTAAATGAATTGAAAGCTCCCTGTCCGGTACTCTTCCCTGATGGTCTGCTGCGGCTGTTCTCTGTCAGTTGTCCGGTGGCAACCTGTGTTCCTCCATAACTTTATAGAGCCATTAGCGGATATCACAGAAATAGTGCTAGAAGTTACGATATCTAAAATTATTACAGTTGGATTAATCTGCAGCACAATTCGATGTTATCTTTTATTGAAGAAAATTCTAATGGCTGCATCCTCGGAAAAATTGAAACAGGTATGTTTGAATGAAGATCGTCAAGATGACATTCCATTCAGTTAGCTTTTAAAGCTTCACTAAACAATCAATTCTTCTTAGCCATTTTCATACAATTGTTTCAATTTGGTTTTGAGAATTTAAAGGACCATCAATTTAAGACAATATTCTCAAATTTCCCAAGTCTTAAAATCTTGCCAACTGTCTGCTTTATAATTTCCGTGAGAGACATGTTGTTCGTTGCTTTGAGTTGATCTTTTTTTCAATTTTTGTTTAATTAATAGGTTTGTTCCGAGGAGAAATTGGTGGTACCAAAAGAGAACACCCATAAGGTCATTTATAATTTCTTTACTCCTCTCACCTGTTTGCACATGGCGCTTTTAATCACTCTAGTTTCAACTTGTACAGATCAATAGCCGACGAAAAGTCCCTGTATGTACTCACGATCA